GGCTGCCTCTCAGAGGTAGGGAGAAAAGCTGGACCTCGAAGGGGTAATCTCCTAAGCCAGAAGAGACAAATAGCTAAGACAAATATTAAGCTCAAATATTTAGCTAAAACGTTTTCACTTAAAGGGGAAAATAGCTCAGTCACTGAATGTGGTACCTTTCACATTATCCATCTGGAAAAAAGTGTAAGATTCTCCTACCAATACTGATTGAAATAAAACTGTATAAGAACTAATATACTTGAAGTGTTAGATTTTTTACCGTTACTAATCAGTGCCTAATCTTTTGTTTTTAAACAGTCTATTGTTAAAATAAGGAGCTTGGTAAAGCTGTACATCATGGTTAGGTTTACAGAAAATAAAAGCAAATTTTCATATTTCCTTTAAGAGGATTAACCATTTTTACAAGAAAATATTTTTGAATAATTTTATTTAAAAATAGATTCAAAATTCATTTTGGATTAAAGTATCCAATGCCTTTCATTCCACTTTATAAAAAGTGATAAAAGTTTAAAATTTACTTTGTGATAAAACTTAATTCTCAACTAAGTACTCTATTTCAGAAGAAATTTTTCATTTAATTCTTGACCATGGTGATCATTTAGAAATTGTGGCTACATATGATTATTGAATTATGGTCATTACAAAGCAATAGAAACCAACTTTCATGTCATGGTTCACTTTAAGTAATAGAAAAGCATTTTAAAGAACAAAATAGCAAATTTGAATAGCCCCTCGCCTCTGTAGCAGAAGGTATGTCTTTCAGATCTTGAGGGTAGGTTGATATTTTTGAATAAATGAAGAGGAGACAAAAACATAAAGTGGCAGGAAAATAAATCATGACCCTAGTGAATATTCAAGCATTTCCTATGTTAAAAATCTGAACATACATATTTTAGTTCAAGCTGGTGCTTCAATATTTTTGTGTGTACAAGAAACATTTCTTCTGAAGAATTAAAATATAGAAATTAAGTACTGACATCCTACAGAAGTTGAATAATTTTACTAATCCAAGGCAAAAAGCCCAGCTAGCCTGAGAAGGGGGCTATCTAGGTATCCAGGCAGAGGAAACGTGGAGATGGAGAGAAGATAAGGGGAGAAGAGGGAAGGAGAGGTCAGAAAAGAGGAGGTCAGGAGAAAGAAGGGAAAGGGTGGTGATACGGTTTGGCTCTGTGTCCCCAACCAAATCTCCTATCGAATTGCAATCTTCATGTGTTGGGAGAGTGGCCTGGTTGGAGGTGATTGAATCATGGGAGTGAACTTCCCCCTTCTTGTTCTTGTGATAGAGTTCTCAAGAGATCCGGTTGTTTGATCAATGTAAGGTGCTTCTCCCTTCTCTTTGTATCCATAGTAAGATGTTCTCGCTTTCCCTTTATCTTCTGTGATGATTGTACCTTTCCTGAGGCCTCCCCAGCCATATGGAAATGTGAGTCAATCAAACCTATTTTTTTCATAAATTACCCAGTCTCAGGTAGTTCTTTATAGCAGTGTGAGAACAAAGTAATACCGGAGGACAGAGAGATGAGAGGATAGAAGAATATGGGAGAGGAGAGAAGGGGAGAGGGAGGAGTAGGAGGAAAGAGAAGAAGGAATTAGAGGAAGAAGAGCCAGGGAACAGGAGGCCAGGAAAGAGGACTGGAGAGGAGGCCACAGGAGGGAATGGGAGGGGAAAGAGGGGAGAGGAGGCCAGCACAGAGGAGGAGAAGGGAGGCCGGGAGAATGGAGCCCAGGGGAAGGGAGGCCGGGAGGTAAGCCTTGCTTATCTATGAGAAGGACCTTAAACCTAATCCTGATAATTCATGGAATGGCAATTGGAAACATTTCAACCAAGATGAAGTCAAATTAAAACATAAAAATATACTTTTAGTTGTTGAGTATAGAATCCTTTTGAAAAGCAGAGAAGTTGGGAAATCTATTTCAGTAATCTAAGAATGATATGATAGTATTTGGAGTGAAGTGGAAGAGATGGAGAAACGTGAATGTAGAAAAAAAAATTAGAAGTTAAAATGAGCAAGGCTTTATAATTGAGGATATAGACGATGATGGAGAATGGTTAGTAAGGGAAGTCTAAATCTCTGGCTTACACAAACTGAAAGGATAGCGGTGCCTTTTATTAGCAGGAAAAAATTAGGAAAGTGAAATCAGTTTTCTATAGAATGAGATGTATAAAAGGCTTTCCCTAAACTCCTTGAAACAGCAAAATTTATGCTTTGTTTTTAGAAAACAAAACAAGTATTTACTCTAATTTCTAGGAAAGAGGAGAGAAACATTTTTCAACCATTTTTTGAATTGGAGGAATTTTCTAGCTTTACAAATTATTGTTTTGCAATTAATCACTTTTTTTCCTAGACTTTTCTCTTAGTTAGAGGCTTTGAAAACTGTTAGCCAGAAATATTTGTTCAATTTAGAGCATCTCTCTCAATCAATCAGCCACTTAAATAAAAATAAACTGGTTTCATCAAAAAACAATATGAAGAAACCTGGGTAATTAACATTTCTTCCTTCATAGAAACATTATTATAGGACTTCGGACAAGAAGTGCGGGTTAGTTCTTCATTCATTGGTCAGTTACATTCAGACATTAACTAACATCATCATGTATAATCATATTATTTTAAAGGAATAATTAAAGATTAAATTATAGCAATTTTCTGTATTGAAACATTTCTTTTACTAAACATTTCTAAAGACAGGGCAATAAATGATAAGGTGAATGTCATATTACAGAAGCTACTTTCTTAGTGTTTAGAAATGATATCAATAAGAATATCTGCATTTTGAAAAATGTAAATAGTCCCAGAAGTGTTTTAAGTATGAATAATAGCAATGAGCATGTTTCATAGGATATTCCATCTGCAACAAAAACAAGCTGAAAAGAAAAAAAAATCCAATGTATTTATATTTAAAGGACAAACATGAACTTCAATAAGGAAAACTAATACTCCAGAAATATTAGAATAGATTTTTTCTTCTGATACACACCTATTTCACTGGTAAAGTTTTTGATTCACTAGTATTTGCCAGCAAAAATTATTTTCAATGCAAAACTGTCTTACATTGTAACATAAGGAGTTCTTTATTATTCTATATTAAAGCAGGATATTATAATATTTCTTGTAGGTTTATATAATCATACACCAATAAGCATGCTTTTTTTATTTGCTGGTTCTGAAGTTTTAAATTATTAAAAGCTAAATTTTTCTTGAGCACAGCTCTAAAGTAGTACAAGTAACTGATCACCTTCAAATCATTCTTCTCTCACTTTTTCCTTTGTTTCTTTGATTTACACACATACATACACAGAGACAACAAATATATTTTCATCTCCAAATCTGAGAATTTCATATTGATGGAATAAGATTCACTTGTTATGGCCCAATGGACATACATTAACTACACATATATGCTCTGGGGCAATTGTGAACTGCATTTTAATCAAATTATAGTATTGGCTCTCTCTAGATTCATTCGTTGAATGACTTCCATGTCCTAGTCACTGTGAAGACAAAGATAAATAAGATACAAGTTATTTCCTAAGAAGTTTATAGATATGGAAACACATATATTAAAATTATTATTTAATGCCATAGATACCAAATAAAGTGATTAACCAGGGAATGGGAACACAGATGAAAATGGAACAAACTGACCAGGAAGTATGGTATAGATTAATCATTTCTCTCGTACTTTCACCTTCATTTACACACACACACTCACACACACACACTGAAATCTCTTTTGATTTTCAAATAGTTTTGCGCCAACTTTTTTCCATCTTTTTATACATATAAGATCTATGTGTTTTTTTAAAAATCTAGATTGTGCACTTCATGTACTGTAACGGTAAGCTAAGAGTTGATGACAGGGTTAGGGTAGAACAACAGAGCAGCTTGCCTCTGTATGGAGTCTGTAAAATGTGCATTTTATTTGGACAGCAACCAAGGAAAAATCAGTTTGACTTGTTTATTTCAATGTATCGATTCATTTTTCCCATAGCTTTAGATAATATGGAAGAAGGATTGCTCACATTCCCCATCTCATTCTTTGTTTTGTCTTTAAGTGTTTTGCTTTCCAAATTTTATTAATCCTGATTTCATTGTAGCAGATTTTTTATTGTCCAAAGGAGAAGTAGAAAATAGAATAAATTGTTCAAAGAATTGATTTTTGTGATAATACCCTCTACCTCCACTGAAGATTTGCTACTAGTAATCAGAAATGTGTGAACACTGGTTTTAGACTCTGTATTTTAACATCAGCCACAAATTCATTATGTATATAAAGGGAATTTCACATAGTAAGAATGATTATTTATTGAACATCTACATTGTCCCTAGGGTATCTGGGTGTGCAATAAATGCTATGATTTATTGTTGGAATAACAATAAATCACTCCAGTTTTATGGTTTAAACTGAGTCTTGGTAAAGTTAATTTCCCCAAGATCTCATACCTGTTCAAAAGTTAAATCAAGTCACTTTTCACTATAGTCTCTTCTTATTTCCTTTTCCCTTTTTAAGAGAACAAAAAGTCTTGCAGAAAATTTCTCTTAAAACGCTATTGACTATTTTAAAATCAGTAATAATGTCTAAAAGCAGCATTAAATAAGGTAATGATCAGTTTGTCTGCCATAGTGTATAATAAAACAGGAAACAAAATGTTTTCATATTCCATCTAACTTCTGCTGTGACTTACACAGCATACTCTTGTGTGCTCCATTGTTTTACACTGTGAGAGAAAGAAAACATAAGTTGTGTTCAAGCCAGAGGAGTCCCGAGGTGGTCAGACTAAAAATTATGCTATTTTCCATTATTTTTTTTTACTATCATGAAAATCCACTGTTATAAAATGTTACATGCATTTTTATGTTTTGTTCAATTTATTGTTACTTTTATAAAACACTTGATTCACATGATTACATATGCCTGAGAATTCTTTAGTATGTATTAGTAATAGTACGTATTATCTGAAAGCATAAAATAAATTTGAATATGGGTTTGTTTTCTAGGTTTTATACAGCAGAACTCAGTGGGACACTTGGGAGTCTGAGGTAAGATTTTTATGTTGCCAAAGAGTTTCAAAATTTAAAAATAAATTTGGCTTTCGTAAACATAATGAACAAAAGCAACTCAACATTTGAATTTAGCCTTCTTCCAAAATATGCTGTCATTTTTGCATTTTCCATTTTAACATTTAGACAGCAAAATAATTATCTTAGTTCTGTTTTTATGTGTCTCAACTTTTTGCAAATGGAAATATATTCAAAGAAGATGAAGGAAGTGGTTGGGCTTTTTCTGTAAGTTCAATTATCTTTGTGTTACTGCTCACTATTCTGAAGCAAGCCCAGAGAATCTTGTTAGTTATCTATTTAGATTGAACATTTCTATAAATGCAAGAAAGATAACTGTGAATGAAGATGTTGTTAAGCAAATGTTCACAGTCATGTGTGGGTGTGTAGGGGTAAACATAGGAAAACTGATTACTTGGTCATGAGACTTGCTAAAGGCTTTCCAGATCATCTGCTCATGAGAATGACTCATGCCTCATTCTCATTAAGAGAAGGCATATCTGATGATGAAATTCTGCTTATCTGAACATACTTGTTTCAGTGAGTATTAATTTTATAAGACAAGGAAATATAGATGATTTAATTTGGGTGGTCAGATAATTAAAGGATGAATCTACTATTATTTTGTAATATGTTCCTTGTAGTAAAGAGACATGACTAGAAGAAAAGCTAAAATTTTCATTATATATGTTATATATACACATTTCTTTTTTATATTTTAAGTGCATTCAAAATCTCCATATTAAATTATTTTACAACAACAAATTGAGACTCATTGATTTGTGCAAAGTATTTTCTTTTGAAGGAACATGTCTCCCTTCCAACATAGCTGATTGATCTACAACTTGCTGAGAACTGTGAATTACAGGCCCTTTGCTGCCTCGGTGGTCTGTTAGTACTTCCAGGGGAGAACACATTACTATATTATGTGAATATTCTGTTTATCACGTCTATTCTCCTGCTTAATCTGAAAGCTACTTGACAGCTAGAAATCTGGAAAGATGTAGTATTTGTAAGGATATTGTTTAATAATTGGCTGCTTTCTGATTATTTAAATGAGATTAAAGTGAATAAATTTAAACATATGCAGCTCAATGAATTTTTAAAAAGAATACACCCATGTAGCCAATACCCAGATCAAGTAATGGAATGTTGTTGGCATTCTGGAAGCCTCCTTCATGCCTTCCTACTGTCATTACCACTCCAACTAAAGGTAAACACTATTCTGAGTTTGCATGAATAGCTTTTCCTTTTTTGAACTTGTTATAATTGGGATTATGCAGTATGCGTTATTTTGTGCCAGCTTCTTTTACTTTGCGTTTTGTTTGTGAGATTCCTCCATCTGTAGCAATAGTTCATCTATTTTTATTGTTACGTAGTAACTATGGTAAAATTTATGCATCTATTTTTAGTTTATAGACAAAGATACATTCAGTTTAGAGCAATTAGGAATAATGTTGCTATGACAATTCTTATGGGTTGTGGGTTTTAATTTGCACTTCCTTGGTAACAAATAATATAAGAACTATCCATGTGATTATTGCCTATATGCATATTTTCTTCCATGAAGTACATCTTTGCATTTTTAGCATGTTTTTAAAAAATCATATGATTGACTTCTTCTCATCAGTTTGCGATTTTACGAGTCCTCCATGGATGTATGTAAGCACAATGCATTCTTCCATGCTATTATTTGCCTTTGCATTCTGTTGATGATGTCTTTCTTCTCATGAACAGAAATTCGTAGGTTTAATAAAGTTCTCTTTATAAGTATTTTCACTTTATGGTTAATGCTTGATATCTTGTTTAGAAAAATCTTTGCTAACTGCAATATCATGAATGATTTTTCTTATGTGATTTCCGGGATCCTTATTGTTTTGTTTTACACTTTTAGAGAGCACTGTATTGAGAACTGATTTTTTTAGTAATTGGTGTTGTGGCTGTTACTTCCATATGGACATGATTGAGCTAGTACCTTTTGTTGAAAAAGGCAAAAACAATTTCACATAATGGGTTGCCATAAATTAGGTCCACAGAGATGTGGATCCATGTTAGGACTCTGAATTCTCTTTCATTTGTTTATTTCTCTCTTTGAGCCAATGACTCATTAATTTCTGTAGCTTTCTATCATATTCATACAATTTCTATCATCATAATACAATTCTCTAAATTTGTTCTTTTGTTTAACAAAGTTTTGGCTTTGACTTTTTCTATTTTCAAATGGATATTAGTATCAACTTATCAACTTCCACAAAATAAACTTTGTGAAGTTTTGACTGGAATTACTGAAATACATAGATTGATTTGGGCATAAATGTTATCCTCACAATTTTAAGCTTTCTAGTCCATAAACAGACGTAATATATTCCTTCACTTATTTAGATATTCTTTAGTTTCTCTTATGAGTGTATTGTAGTTTATGGGATGTAACCTTATCTATCTTCTATCTCTAGCTACCTAATGCATATGATGCTAAAATAGAATTGTATTAATTATTAAAATTTGATATTTGATGTCTAAATGTTTGTTTCTAAAATGTAGAAATACACATAATTGTGTATGTTGACTTTAGCTTAGTAACTACTAAAATCATTACTAGTTTTAATAGTTTGCAATTCTTGTTTTGAATTTCTACTTACACAATCATATTGTACAAAAGTTTTATTTTATTTTCACTTCTATTTAATTTTATTTCCTTTCCTCATCATACTAATGGCTAGACCTCTCCTTTTATATAATGCTGAACAGTAGTAGCATTAGGAGACACCTCCTTTTCATACTATTTTCAGGGGGAAGCTATCAATAATTCAAAATTGAAGATGAATACTTTAGATTTTCTGCAGTAAACTGTTATCATATCCAGTACATTCCCTTCTATTTTTAGCTGGTTATCTTTTTCAAATTGTAAATTGATGTTGAATTTTATCAAATACATTTTATTCATGTATTGGGGTGTTTCCACTTTACTTTGCTAATATGGTTTATTAAGTGAATCACAATGATTGGTAATCAAATGCTAAACCAAAGTTGTATTTCTGAAGCATATTCAACTTCGCGATATATTAATTGTTTTAAACACCAGATTTCTCTTGCTAACATTTCTGTTAGGGCTTTTATGTAAGTTTGAGAAATTTGCCATTAAGTCCTGCTGAGGGCTTGATATCAAGGTTTTATTGACCTCATAAAATGAGTTGGCATGTGTTAACTCTTTTTTTCTTATCTGAAAAAGTTTGTGAAAATTGATATCATTTCTTCCTCGGGAAGAAAATTTCTTCTTTCTGAATTCTTCATAAATAATCTTTCCTAGATTCTTTTCTTTTAAATATCTCTCATTCATTCATGTATTTATTCTTTTATTCATACAATAAATATTTACTTAATGTTCACTCTAACAGACATCGTGCCAGCCCTGCAGATGGAAAGGTGAGCAACACAAGCACAGATATTACCCGCATTGAGCTCACAGTGTAGCCGGTGTGGAAGATAGAGTAATCAAATAATTTAAAAGCATGGACCAAACTCTGTTAAACGTTCATGCAGTATGGATACCAGTGCTCAGAGATCACAGCAGGGACACCTAACCTAAGACATAATTATGAAGCTAATCATGATTATGAAGACATGATTATGAACCTTCCTAAGGTTCCTTAGGAAGCTAATAGTCAGAAATAGGTAGACTACCTCATTTCCTTTTTCTTATTTGAGCTTATATCTAATTCATGTGGTTAGAATGTTCTAAATAAGGATAACTGGCTTCCCAGTGTGGTTCATTTTCTATGTTATGTAGAGGATGTCCCAAAGTACTGGAGTTTGGTAATACAAAAGCAAATTTATGTCCTTCACACTACACAAAGATTTGGCACAAATACTACTTTCAGAAAAGAAAAACACTAAAAATAAATTAGCCTCACTGGGCCCTTAATAGCAATACCTAAAAATAAATACTTGCTGCTTGTCTTAAATTTAGTGCAATCATTTATTCTCATCATTTTCTACTTTCTGGCAAATATACAACTTGCATTTTCCAGGATGCTATATTTTATACACTTTACAAAATTAATTAATTTTATAAATATAACATATTTATTAATATTTTACAGTTTGAACGCACTGTACAATCTCTTTCCCAATTCTTTAATTAGGCTCAGATACAATATTTAAATGACATGGAGAGAAAACAAATTTTGAGGCCTCAAAATTCTTGTCTATAATGAAAAATACAGAGTTTCGTCCTGTCTGGAAAGTTAACTCATGCACTGCAAAACCATGCCAAATACAGGCAGCAGAATAGTAAACCCAGTATGTTAAAAAGTTCTTTCTTTTCCTTCTTTTCTCCTTCTTCTTCCTTCCTTCCAATTGAATATATATATATATATATATATATATATATATATATATATATATATGTTTTCTAGGGAGAAAATCAGTAGGAGTTCATTAGTAACTGAAACAATTTCCTTTCAATTTTAAAACATAATAGCATTTTGAGTAAACTATATATACACCATTTAATATAATTGTAGAGAAAAATAAAATAAAATATCCCAAAATAATTTTAAAACTCCCCCAGGAAAGAGCCAAGAGTTTTAATGTCATAGGTGTTTCAAGATTTGTATTCTTCTATTTTGGATATGATGAGTTTAAAGGATTTACTAAATGTGCTAGGTCAAATATCACTTAGTTCTAGAAGCTTGTAAAATTATAAATTGGAATACTTTCTAAGAGTTATGAAAACTACTGTATTTTCTGATAATTTTTAAAAATTGTTTAAACTGAAATATTGCCTGGGCCTGGTGGCTTACTCCTGTAATCCCTGCACTTTGTGGGGCCAAGGCCAGTGGATGACGAGGTCAGAAGTTCAAGATGAGTAGTGAAACCCTATCTCTACTAAAATTACAAAAACTAGCTGGGCATGGTGGCATGAGCCTGTAGTCCCAGCTACTTAGGAGACTGGGGCAGAAGAATCACTTGAACCTGGAAGG